AACTGCTTGCATCTGCTGACAGAGTAATCGGCTTGGTTGGATCATAGAATGTTAATGTAGATGCTTTTGTTATTAATTACTTTATTTGCTTAAAGGCATCTTGTTGTGCCGGTCCCATATCCATGCAGTTGAATCTAGACTGCATGTAGCCTTTTTCTTGTTTGGGTCGACGCTTGTTCCTTCTGCTTTGAACTTCTCTCCCATAACTCTGATTGTCTAATCTGTCATTTGACTTTGTTCAATTTGAGCCGGCTTTCTCCACCATTTCGTAGACCTGGTTCAATCTAGAATCTTCCATAGTCGACCTGATACTAGCCTATTGTAATCTTGTACAACGGCATTACCTTTCACAATTTGCAGCATATCTTGCATTTTCCTCTGGAATATTTTTATTTGTACTAGTTATACCAAAATGAAGTCTCCTAAATAAGTAGGCCTATAGTCCCATCGGTGTGATGAAAGTCGTTAATTTTGAGCTTTCCTCACACAAAGGAACTTGGAAGTATCCACTTGTTGCATTTAATGCTGAAAATACAGTTGCACCTGCTAGCTTATGTGTTATATCATGGAGGTATAAAAGTATATTTGTATATATTTTATACCTCCATGCTCAGACTAACACAGATTGTAGTTTCCATGTGAGGTAACGAGGGCCTCCATGTTAATTCGCCATATTGTACTCCACTATATAAGAGGGCAGTATATTCCTTAGTGGCATTATCATGACAGTGCTCGCATCAACAAAATATCGGCCCAGGCCGCCAACAAGTAAACAGTCGCATCGCATCGGGCTATGTTTGGCAGCTTCATTACGTCACATAGAAACTAAACCATCTCCTCGTTTATTATAGTAGAGATCAGTGCGCAGAGATCAGCAGCGTGTTCCCCGTTGCCGTAATGCATGCCTGGGGCGGATGCAGGATTTAGCGGTCGGGGTGCCTACAAAAATTTAAAGAATTAGTACATGTAGATGGCCGGAAATGACACATTCATAATAGTAAAATTCATCATCATCATCACATCACTATATCGTTATATAGTCAAAATGAAGTGCCAACACATTTTCATGATCTTTGATTTTATCGGCGATTTTCGGCAACCATAGAGATCTAAGTAATATGTGTGATGAACCATAGAAAATATAACTTAAAAACATTCTCTTTGATGTATTTACTTTACTTACTTCAAAGCAGTGAGTCCACAACCACCTCTGCCCCGCCATGGTTGGGGCTGAGGTGGGTGAGAAAATTTGAGGAAATAATACCTTTACATGGCCGGAAATGACACTTTTATATAGTAAAATTCATCATCATCACACCATCATGTCTAGCCTGAAGCGCCAGCAAATTTCTCATGATTTTTAATCAGGGATTTTTGGAAACCACAGAGATCTAATTATTATAAGTGTTGTACCGTAGAAAAAAAACACTTTCTTTGATGTATTTAATTTATTTGACCTATATCAAAGCGTGGCCACATTCACATCAGTCCTACCATGGTTGGGGCTTATGTGAGAAAATTTAAATAAATAGTACCGCTAGATGGCCGGAAATGACACAAAATCCTTCATCATCACCAACATTATATAGTCAAAATGAAGCGCCAACAAATTCTCATGATCTTTCATCATCTATTTTCGGCAACCACAGAGATCTAATATGTGATGTACCGGAACAGTACCATAGAAAATACAACATGTCTTTGATGTTTACTTTACCTACTTCAAAACTGTGAGTCCACACGCATCTCAGCCCCACCACAGTTGTGGCTGAGGTGGTAAAATTTGGGGAAATTGTACCTATAGATTTCGCATATGACACTCTTATATGTAAAATTCATTATTATCGATCTAATTAATCGCTGTGATGTACCATAGAAAATAAAACTTAATTGTCTTTGATGTATTTACTTTACCTATTTCATATGCCGAAAACCAATTTTATCTTTGCATGCTTTTTCTCATACGTCTCAAATTATAATAAAGGCACGCGCACTCGAATCGTGTATGATAGGTAATTCAGATGTTTGTGGGCAGAGTCTGGCTGTAGGCCTACCGCGCTCTTTCGTTAAAACCTGAGTCATTTATGCAGTTTATTTCAACAATTTTCAAACATATCTTCTTGATTCCCGAAAGGTGAGGAGAACCAACCATTTCCCCTTAAAAATATGTGGGTGGGGGGGGGGGGCGTGTTCCCCTTCCCCAGTGATCTGCGCCCATGGGTCCGTGAAAAATCCACTTCACCTCAGTCCCAACATGGTTGGGGCTGAGGCGCGAACATTTTGAGAATATTGAGCTCTAGGTGCCAAGAAATTACACTCTCATCCCTTAAAAATCTTACCAATAATTTATATCAACAATAATAATACAACAATTATTTTTCTTAATAGAATTTAGTGGGGTACGACCGCACCATCTGCACCCCCCTGCATCCGCCCCAGCATGCTGTGTCATTGCATTAAATACTGAATTTATAAATCGATCAGGTAAAAAACAAAGATTCGCCTGGGCACAATGCATAATTATTGATTGATATAATTATAATAGGCCTAATAATTTCGCATAGAAGGGTTAGCCTACTTACTATTACTACTATTGCTCAATGGCCGCCATAGGCCTAGGGCCTTAATAGTCTAGGCCGGGCCGCATTATTTTTTCCCTACACAGTTAAGGCAGAAATTATAGAGGGCGCTATCTTAGATCAATTAGGTGAACTGATATACATGAAATATGCAGCTTACCAGACCTTCCCTCGTGAAGCAGAGTTCAGTGGTGTATCGAGTAAGCTGCAGTGCTTATTCATGGGGGAACTCTACGGAGTAGGCTAAATTTCTTAAATAATATACCTTGGCAGTCAAGACAGTTTGAAAATTCATAGACTATAATTGTAATAATATCCCTATGACTAGACACAGTTTATGTACAGCATGGTCTTTGAAAGTATAAAAAAGTAATATTGAATCTGGCTATTTCAGTAGCTAAGTATATAGGCCTAGATATGACACTTTGTTGTACCAATTGTATGCGCGCCCTAACAGTAGTATTGATTCTGAAGGATAAACGTTTAGAAATGCTTGGAGACAAATTACGAGTATTTTGGACACAGTTGTTAACTTACAATTTCACAATTTTAATGAGAAAAAAAATCCCTGTCAATTAACAGACAGTGAGCGTATTTGCTGTATTCCTTGGCATGATTGGCTGGTAACATTTAATGATATTTTTGTAGAACCATCTGCAATTAAGTGAAAGCTATGTTTTACTTTCATCTGATTTTAATCTTTTTAAATAAGCTATTCATTTTTTTTAATTGGGTAGACAGCCCTTATAAACGCGTAGTACGTCACATCATTGTATAGAATGTCGTCGGATTTGGTTAAAAAATTAATGTTCAAATATATCTTGCTATATAAATCTATGCCTATTACTTTTATTCATATTGAATATGAACGAAATGTCTGTGAGAAAACAACATTAAGACAATACATAGAATTGTCTTAATACCTGTGTCCAAGTGTTTCGTTTTATATCCTTCAGAATCAGTTGTATTATATTAGTATAGCATTTAGTATGTACAGTATGCTATACTTTTACACTACTACTAGGCCTACGCAGAGTCAAATAACCGACCAGATTCAAAGCCGCTGTTTATGCTTTCAAAGACGCTATACGTAAACAGTGCTATAGGGATATTATACTTACAAACTAATTGTTCATTAATTTTTACTGTGTCGACTACACACTGTCTCGACCAACTGCTACCAAGAGATTTTGGCTTATCCTACCTATTGTTTTATATTCCAAAAGCAGCGAACACTGCTTTTCACGACTCGAGAGGGGGAAGTCAAACACGCAAAAATTATTCATATAATCAATTCACCTAAATGACCTTAAATAGCGCCCTCTATAATTTATGCCTAATCTGTATGGGGAGAAAAATAATGCGGCATGGCCCTCTCTTGAATCCCAGTCGATTTGGTTCAGGACTATATGGCTATTTATCCGTCATGCCATAGAAAAGTGCATAAAATAGCAAGACTGAAGTTTCAGTTTGGGGTCAAATCAGCTCCAAGAATCAAAACCTTGAATTTACGTAGACACATGCAATGGGACAATGTCCACAAGCTATTTTTTTTTTGTTACATCACTACTAGAATAGATAGCCTCACTTGAATCCACCTGGTTGATTCAATAAAAATGTTTCTCATGCCCAACTAGTCTAGGTACTAGGCCTATTTCGTCGCTCACATCACGAACTAACACAATCAAAGTAGATTGTGTTAGTTCGTGAAATCACAGTAGCGCGTCAAAACGAGCGCGTATTGGTTGTCAAGCAATTTTGTATTCTTTACCACACACCTCTCGTCGGGGGAATCGGCCCCTCCGTCAGGGACCTCGCCCCCCCCACCCCCGTCGGGAAAATCCTGGCGCCACCCCTGATCCACAATGATTGCCTTCTCAACTTTCCATAACATTCAACTGTATTATACAGCTGTTCTATTTTCTCTATGGTTGGACCGATTCCTACGGCCTTGACATAAATCTACTACAATCACAATTGGTTAAATTTAGAGTTTTTTTGTTTGTTTGTTATTTTTTTTTTTGTTTTTTTTGTTTTTTTTTATTTATTTTTTTTTTGATTGGCTGGTATTTTTTTTATTTGTTAATTTAAATTTTAATTAATTAATTTAACAAAATTGAATATAAGCATATGTTCTTAAGTTTTTAATGCCTTCCAACGGCTTTGAATGTACAACGGACTGTGCGCGGTACATTAACTTTGAAGAAGTTAAAAGGACATTGTTGGCATACAAACGATATTAATTGGTGAATTATTGGACAGGACCAGCCGGACCGCTGCCTACGGCCTTGTATAATTATATATAAACAAAGAAATCTTGCAAACTAAAAAATGTTGCCTCAACCGTGATTTGAACCCGGGAACTTCTGCTATCTATGGAACCACCTTATCCAACAGGGCCATTAAATGAATAATACTTACACTTGTAATGTCTGTTACTTCGTGGATAGCAATAACAATCACATTATTTGATAGTTCTAATATAACATCCCTGTAAGAATAGTTTCATATCAACTTTATTAATAAAGATAATAATATAATAATATAATATTTAATAATATAATATTTAATATTACTATATTATTGTAGTAAGATGGAGCTTGGTGATTAAGATGCTTGCCATCCAATACCAGGGTCCTGGGTTAAAATCAGGATTTTTCTCACGACTAAAATATCTCCCCATGCTTCATAAAGAGTTTATGATTACAGTATCGGTTTAGTTTATTCAAGAGTGCCGCTGATATTTAGGGGTTAAAATGCTTACCATTTATAGTATATATAGTATTGTATATAATATCATATAAAGTATCATATATCGTATCATACTTTGTTACTTATATCGTATCATATATCGTATCAGATAACGTATGTGATGATCGTATGGGATAACGTAAAACCTCGAATTGAAGCCCAATGTGTTTAATCTCATAATGAGATATCGTATGAGATACCGTATCGTATCATATACGCCTATCGCATCATATATTACATATAGCATCAGATATCGTATCAGATATCGCATCAGATACAGTACCGTATCAGTTATCGTATCAAGATCGTAGTATGATATCGTATCACATATCGCATCACATACCGCATCACATATCACATTACATATCACATCACATATAACATCATATATAACATCACACATCACATTATCACATCACATATAACATATCACATATCACATCACATTACATATCATGTCACATGATCACATCAGATATCACAAAACATATGGCATCAGTATCACATCACATATCACATCACAATCATATCACATTCACATCACATCACATATCGCATCACATGTCGCATCACTCTTAGTCTTAACAGTTTCAAAAATAACTATCACTATTTATTGATGTTTTCTCCGGCGTTATACAAGTTTTTATTCATTTTTTTTAACTACCTATCACATCACATATCAAAACACATAATAATCACATCATATCATCTATCATTTATGATATGATATATGATATATGATATGATATCATAGTATATAATATTATATCATATTTTATCATATCATACCATATCGCATCACATAGTCCTATCATATCATATCACCATATTATATCATAATCAAATCAAATCAAAGTTTTTCCTTTTGAACATAAACAAAATAATATCATATTATATCATATATCATAATACCATATCATATAATTATATCATATATCATGTCTCATATAATATCTCATAGGCCTATCATATCATATCATATTATATCATATATCAATTATCATATCTCATATCATCATATACCATATTATTACCTATCATATCATATTATATTATATTATATTATATTATATTATAAAATATATCATATTATATTCTGCCATATTATATTCTACCATATTATAGTTTTATAGCATATTATGTTAAAATGTGAAAAAACCCCAACATATTTATGTCTCATTTTGTATGGATCTCTTATTAATTAGAACGGATTGACTTACATGTCGTCTGTAAACAACCGACCGACATACTTGATAGGAACTATAAGTATCAGGAACACAACCACATTATATATCACTGCAATGATAATACTGTAGTTAACAGTTGCTTATAATCCACATAACAATTATATGATATTGCAATAAATGACTATGAGGAAGCATGTATTGTTATAGTTATACACTGATTGATTTAAGGTTGATATCTTGGATTTGGTTTAGGGATACCTAGTCCGAAACGTATTTCCAATGGTATATGCTTCTGGTTGGAATAATTGCGGAGTAGCAAGAGGAAAAGGCGGCTTGCATGCATGCATATTCATGCATATCAGTTCACCTAACGGACCTAGCCTGATAACTTGAATGCATCCTTGGCTTCGGTCTCGCGAAAGCAGTGTTTTCTGCTTGTGAAATCTGCAGCGTTGAATAGCATACACATAGTACTGATTCTGAAGGATATGAACGTTTAGAAATTATGCTCTGACACAGTATAAGGACAATTCTATATATAGTTCGGGCGGTGCGGCTGCCTGGCAGATGTCCCCAACGGGGGGTGGGGAGGATGCCCCAGACGAGGCAGACGAGTGGTCAGATTTCCCTGACGAAAGCAAAGTGGGCGTGGTCGAGTTTCGATTAAAAGGTTTTGAAAGTGATCCAGGGGGAGAACCCCCTAACATTTTGGCAATTTAGGGGTTTCAAAGGCTTATTTATTTGATTTTAGAATCTACTAATATGTAGAAAATACATATAATTGTTTTGCTCCCAAACGAATTTGGTGGGGGTCCGGTGACGTCGGTCCGGAACGTTGTGGGTGATTTAGCGTCTTGGTTTGCTTTGCACGACTTTTCAAACCAGTCTCATAGTCTTGTTTTAATTTTAATTTGATTGACGGGTGTGCAATAATGTACTAGTAGTTTGAGTAATTTGCAAATCTCTTTTATAGTTCAGAATTTAATTTTATATTTTTGTTGCTTACATTTTATTATATTTTGGATGCACCGTTAGGTTTTGCCTAACGTGTGCCACTGTTATGAAAATGTAATCCAATAATTATTTATTATATTGTACCAAGGCCTATTTTAAAGATTTTTTATAGCCTACACCGTAGCTTTCACCCACCCATAAGCACTGTAGCTATTACTCGATACACCACAGCATGCATAGTCCTATTTATGTTTATCAGTTTACGTAACTGACCGAAAATAACTACCTCTATATTTTCTGCCTTAACTTTATGGGGAAAAAAACAATGGCCCCGCGGGACACAAATCCCCTGCTCTTTTCAGAAAAGGAGTACTTTGCAAAAGGAACCACTTTTTGGCAGAAAATATATAATATCAATGTAGATTTTTGTATGATCGGCTCCCTTGCAATTCACATTCCCATTCATCTTAGTAGTGGCCCCCCACCCCTCACCACTTTGAAAAAAAGATCCGCAGGCCCTGACTGGACATGATAACGACTCGACAACGACATCGCGTTTATATTATTCAACACTGATATCGTGTCTAGTTTAAATGTAGCTTAAGAATATAGCCATATATTAAGCATTAAAGTCTCATTATATTATGGTTGACATACAGGTGAATATATAGTCGACACAAGCCAAAGTTTTAGCCTCTGCGTGTTCATTTACTCCAAGCTTTTCTCCAATCTTTATCGACATGGCCGTTGAAAACCCGGAAGTGATCTAGAAAAACATAAACATTTCACGGACGAGAAACAATTTTTAAAAAATGTATAACTATTTTTTGATGCATTTGCAATATACTCAAAACACTAACTTTTTGTTAAATATTGTTCTACTAGAATGTGTAGACAAAAAAGGGAAGCTAGCAAAATTAAGCACACTAGTGGGGGGTGGGGAGGGGCGACTTGGTTAGGACTATTAATATACTAATCCAGTAGAATTACATTTTTCTAACCTGGTTGGGATCAATAGGCCGAAGTCTTTATGATCACTAAACACATTTTGACGGTAATTATGTACTGTAGTTTTCACATTTGCAGTGAAAATAATGGGCGATTATTTGAGTATATACATATCCATTTTACACACAAAAATATATGAACCCCTCCCTCGAAAAAACGCCCCCCCCCCCTCTAAAAATCTTTCTCAACATTAAATGCCCTGGGGCATTTATTTGAATAAATATGGTATATGCAAATAAATTTCCAACAATTTATGGGCAGGTTGAATGCTTTTTTGATCATGCAAATAATTTGCACATACATTATTTACCTGTTTATTCCGGTTCATCAATGATGACACCAAGATGTTATGATTTCCTTCTTATTCATCTATAAATTTAGCTTACATTTTACTGATTATATTGAATAGAGATAGCGAAGGCCTACCTACCATAAATGTACAATTTACTATGATGTCAAACAAAGCAAACACGTCTACCTCTTTAGCCCCAACTAAACCTGAATGATATCGATTAAAAGTAATATTATTATTATTAAAGTTAATACAATACAAAAATTGTTTAGAAATTATAAGAATGAGGCTACAAAGAGCACCTCTTGATGGAAGATAATATTTTTTATTACTTACCGCACAAAAAGAATCCGAATGCCAAATTGAGTTGTTCAAATATGAACAAAAGAAATCCGTTAAACACACAGACAGAAAAGTCATACCAGTTTTCTAAAGATTCTTTCATAAACACTACAATTTAAAAAAACAATATTACAAAAATGTTAGAATGCTGGTGTGTTTATATAATGTGTTAGTGTTTCAAATCCTATCGTCACAAAATGAGTCATGTGGTCACAATAATTGTAGTATAGATTCAAGAAAGTTTACTTAAAAGTAAAAATTAAGAAGAAACATTACAGGCACTGTGATAGTCTACTTATGATCGGAGAAGGCACCGCTAGCTTTCGGATGCGACACTCGTCCGCTCTCAAATAATTAAACCAGACTAGGTAGATTGCGTATCATCAAACCATCATGCAAATAATTTGCACATACATTATTTACCTGTTCATTCCGGTTTAAAGAATCATCAATGATGACACCGAGATGTTATGATTTTTCTCTTATTCATCTATAAATTTAGCTTACATTTTACTGATTATATTGAATAGAGAAAGCGAAGGCCTACCTACCATAAATATACAATTTAATATGATGTCAAACAAAGCAAACACGTCTGCATCTTTAGCCCCAACTAAACCTGAATGATATCTGAATGATAT